ATATGACTAGGTTAAACAATACATTATTTATAGGCCTAGTTGTTTTAGGTAGGCCTAGTCATTGATTCTTTTCATATTGATGATTTCAGCATACTCGCTTCTGATAGACTCAAAACGACCAACAAGACTTCCACCAAGTTCAGGTAAGACTACAACACGTACAAATTTCACTTGCCTAGAGTAGTAGCAGTTCAAAGGGTAATGCAAAATTATAAATACCTAGGCCTAGGCCCTGAAATAATTATTCAGGCGTCGCAAGTTTCTTGCTCTTCTGTGAACAAGCAAAAATCTTTTCTGAAATTCTGAATGGTTTGTAGTTATTTTTTGAACATTTTTCTCAGGCGATGTAATATTGACTCTGCCCAATTTATTTATTATAGTGATATTTGAATACACTATACAGTATGGGTTGATGCATAATTAATTTTTGTTAACATGCCAGTTACATGTGGAATATTTTAATTACATGAAAATCTGAATGTTTAACGAAGAACAATTGATTTTTAAAAACAACTTTTTTTCTTTCATCTAATGATCAGTCCTTAGTAAAGTTAAGTCGTTTCTGCCAGCTATGAAAGCAGCTAATGAAGATCTTATGATGAATGCCGCAGAGGATGGTGTTGGATTAGAGTTACCGGAGAATTATGATGGTCCCGCTATTCAAATGGTCAGTATAAAGTCTTTGTATAGACATCAAGGAATAAAAACTGAAAGGCTACATCTAATAATTAAACCATAATTAAAATCCAAACTCCAGTACTGTTGCCCACTGATAAGTTTTCGGTGTAACATACACTACTCCAAATAAAGTGAGATTTGTCATTGTTATTCAATATTTCTATTGTTTTATTAGATCATCTTCTGGAATGTAAAAATCAGTATTGATAACGATAATAATATTTATTGATAAGCGATACTTTTATAGCTTGTTTAGCGAACACTGATACCATTTAGACACCCGCCACCGTTAATAATTGAAAATTAAGAAATCTACTGCCCATAGAATTTTGAATATCGAAGCAAACTTACATCGCAGTAATCAGTGATTTTGGTCTGCGATTGATTGTAAAACACACAAGGTGCTAGCGCGATTTTATTTGCCTCTCTTTAAATTTCTAAAATTTTATTCACAAATAATTTTGTTTTTCCTTCCTGCACTCAGGTACTCTTCGCCGAATAATTTTGCTAAATTTAAGATTTTTTCAAAATTTATGTGCGCTAGGCAAAGTATTAAAAAAGTATAACCATAGGCCTATCAAAAACAAAAATATTTGTAAGGATAGAAATTTTTGCAATTATTCCCTTTCAGGATCTGACACAATTTGCTTTAGATTCAAGCTCTGATGATTCCAGCGATGAAGAAGATCCACCAATCACAGAGTATAATTTACAAACAACAGCATCAGTAGCCAATCAGAAACACAGACCAACCATTGAGGTACTGGCAGCAACTGATTCTCAACAAGCATCATGCACTCAGACAACAGAGGGTGTAACAAAGACAGACAGCACTGTCAAGTGATCTGATTTGTGGTTGTATGCATGTAAATAAGTGAATGTGTATAAGAGACAGTGACTAGGTTAAACAATACATTATTTATAGGCCTAGTTGTTTTAGGTAGGCCTAGTCATTGATTCTTTTCATATTGATGATTTCAGCATACTCGCTTCTGATAGACTCAAAACGACCAACAAGACTTCCACCAAGTTCAGGTAAGACTACAACACGTACAAATTTCACTTGCCTAGAGTAGTAGCAGTTCAAAGGGTAATGCAAAATTATAAATACCTAGGCCTAGGCCCTGAAATAATTATTCAGGCGTCGCAAGTTTCTTGCTCTTCTGTGAACAAGCAAAAATCTTTTCTGAAATTCTGAATGGTTTGTAGTTATTTTTTGAACATTTTTCTCAGGCGATGTAATATTGACTCTGCCCAATTTATTTATAGTGATATTTGAATACACTATACAGTATGGGTTGATGCATAATTAATTTTTGTTAACATGCCAGTTACATGTGGAATATTTTAATTACATGAAAATCTGAATGTTTAACGACTGTCTCTTATACACATCTAGATGTGTATAAGAGACAGCTATTAGACCTATCTAAAGTCTTCACTATCACTAAATTGTGTTAAAAGTCTGTTCGATATGAATCAATGCAGGCCTATTTTACCAGCTTACAGGCCTAGCATAGGCCCTACTCTATTGGCTTAACGTACCTGCTCCATTGGGTCCGATGATGGCAGTGAATGGCTTGAATGGACCAATTGTCTGCTTACCGCGGTAGGACTTGAAGTTGTCCAATTCAAGTAGTTTAAGAAAACCCATTTTGCGTTTTTTGATTCAGGAATAACAAAACACACTATTTAGAGTATTTCCTGTGTCCAATATACAGTGCAATTGCACTTAATTAATGATAAAATGCACTTTAATATTGACGAAACTTCCGAACATCCAACATGGCGGGAAAAACAAAGCCATCTTCTTAAACAGCGCCTCCACAAAACAAACTTAGATTTCTAACATGGCAGCCTCCATGCTTTCACAAGTTGCTGAGTGAGTTGGAGTGTCTACCAATCTTAAAAGCTCTGACAAGCAACATTCGAATCCGAAGATGGAACAAAAACTAAAGGAAATTGTTAAAGAACCACTAAACGCAAACAACAGTGGTTCACAGAAATAATTTGCACTGTCTTATGCGCTTACAAAGATGAAAATTAGCATAATGTATTAATGTTGATAACAAAATTATTTTATCTGGTACCAATCTAAGCTCTTCTTTCATTAGATGTTAGATGTAATTGCAAAGAGAGCCACATTTCACACTGAAGGGGTTTGTACGACATCAGTAATGTTATATCAATTCCAAGAATGTTTAAGGTTATATCGGTTGATGAGGAATTTATTGATTAGGCCTATAACAGCAAATTGAATCAATTTATTTTGCAAAAACAAGGTTTCCAGCTTCAGAGGGGGGAACATCTCCTGTCCGCACAAGGGCACACATTGGCGCTAACACCAGGCGCATAACAGGGGTCTTGGGTCAGAGTGGGTATATTTTTTTTAATTTTTTATTTCAACCATCTTTGTAGAGGGTAACCCTTCTAGTTTAGCCCAGTAGGTTACCTGACATTCAGGGGCCCTCTTTAATAAAATTAAAGAACAGTACAAACAACATCATCACAACATAATAATAACAATAATAATAATAATAGTAATAACAATAGTAATAATAACAATAATAATAATAACAATAATAATAATAATAATAACAATAATAATAATAACAATAATAATAATAATAATAATAGTAATAATAGTAATAATTATAGTAATAATAATAATAATAATAATAATAATAATAACAACATACAATCCTCATTTCCCGGTTAGTAATTTACCATACCCACCCTACTCCCCATATAGAAAACAATACGACATAGGGCTTTATCTTATTTATAATATAGGCCACACACGTGTGTTTGAAACTAAATATAAGAATTTTCATCATGGTTGTATTTATTACAAACACATTCTTTCACCATCTATACACATTGAGGCCCTTCTTTTGGGTTAAAATGATCTATCTTAAATTTGTCTTTCTTGAGTTTGGGACTATTATGTTTTTAAATAACTTAAAAGGATAAAACTAAAACAAGCCCTAAAAAATGCGCGCAAAATATTTCTGTGTTTTTAATTCTAATTTCTTTGGAATTGATGAAAACTATTTAAAATGTGCAATTTATAGAGAATTGGCCTACCGTAACAAGAAATGCGCGCAAAGAATTTGAGAATTTTAGGCACTTTCTGAGGATGCATTTGCCATCCAAAGATGGATATTTTCCCCTTGTCCCCCGGTGTTTTTAATTCTAATTTCGTTGGAATTGATCAAAACTCCCTAAAATGTGCAATTTTTAGAGGAAATTGGGCCATGTTAACAAGAAATGCGCGCGAAATTTGAGGTTTTTAGGCACTTTCAGGGGATGAAAGGGCATTTATAAAGGGGGAGGGGGTGGGGAAGTTTTTTCAAAGATAGATATTTTCTCCTAACCAGTGGTTACGCCATCGGGCAGCATAGATCAAAGGAGTTATGACAGTTTTTGAAGTGGAGAAGGGGTTGCATGGGTGTCTGGTCATTATGATATCTTCCTTTTTATTCTTGTCTTTATTTTTCTCTTCTCTTTTTCTTTCCTTTTCTTTTCCTCTTCTTTCTCTTTCCCTCAACCTTACATAATAAACCAACAGTGGCGGATCCAGGAATTCGAAAGAGAGGTGAACCAGGGAGGGACTTTCACAGACTGAGGAACCACCCTCCTCAGCCCCACCATGGTTGGGGCTGAGTTAAGAAAATTTATGATTAGGGCATCTCTAGATGGCCGGAAATTACACTCTCGCACTTAAATTTTAATATATTTTTCTTTCTTTTTTTTAAAAATAAGGGTAGTGGGGATTGGGGGCCCCTTGAATCCACCTCTGTTTCCAAAATAGTCATAATCATGAAAAATGGGCATGAAAAACCAGATCACATCCTAAAAACAAATGTATGGACCCTCGCCTCACCAGTCACTAAAACATTTGAGCCAGGTGCCGACTCGATGGATTTTATTGTCATACCCAGGGAGAAGTGCAGACCTTTTGAAAGGTGGAGGGGAAGACATTTTGTGAGTCGACACCCACCTCGTACCCACCATGATTGGAGCTGAGTTGAGAAAATTTGAGAAAATACAGTAGTACCTCTATATGGCCAGAAATGACACTTTTAGTAAAATTCATCATCATCAAATCACCATTAATCAAAATGAAGCGCCAAAAAAATTCTCATGATCTTTATCAGGGATTTTTTGGCAACCATAGCGATCTTATTAATCTGTGTGTGATATACCATAGATGACAAAGCTTAAAACAATGTCTTTTGATGTACTTTACATACTGTACTTCAAAACCGTGATTTCACAACCACCTCAGCCCCACAATGGTTGGGGCTGAGGTGAGAAAATTTAAGGAAGGAAATTACGTGTAGATGGCCGGAAATGACAATATAGTAAAATTCATAATCATCACATCACCATTACATAATCAAAATGAAATGAAACACATTTCCCATGATTTTTTATCAGGGATCTACTTAATATCCAGGACAACTTAGGCCTAACTATAGCTTACTATATTCGCCATAATTCATCAAATATCCACCGGGGGACCTAGGCGGCCCCCGTCCCCCAGCCAAGTGAGACTCGATTCGCTCCACTACCCCACCTCCCAGTCGGGGCCTTTAGCCCCTTCGTCGGGCAGGTCCTGGCGCCATCACTGCTATGAAATAACAATTAGACAATGCGGGGTGTAATTAGTTGTTCGTGAAAGTGTAGCCACTAGCAAAGCCAAGATCCCTTAGTGTGTGGCTTATACGGAGGATCCGTCGTAACTACTCTGTGCAAAGTCTCCTTAGTTGATTTGTAGTCACTGCCTATGATAGTGAAACGAAACTTTGAAAGTGAATACCTGGACAGGCCCGTAGCCAGGTCATCTCAAGGGGGGGGGTTCTCTGGGCGTGGGGTTCAGGGGTCTGCCTGAGGGCCACGGTGGGGTCGCCAGAGCGGTTTTTGTGTTTAATGGGTCTATAAATGATGTTTTAAAGCAGTTATGTTTTGAAAAAGATCTATGTAATAAAAAGGTGGTAATATAAAATTAGAAAATATTTTCTGAGAATGGGCATGTTTAAATAACACCGAAAGATATAAAAAAAAAACCCCTCATCGCACAATCAATATCAATATATTCAACACATTTATTATTATTTAAAAAAAAAGCTAAGTTCTTCTTCTTCCTCTTCTTCCTCTTCCTATTCTTCTACTACATCTTATTGACTCTTATTTTGTACACTGAAAATAATACTAATAGTACTATTTTACTACATGGCTAAAAAAAGCACAAATATTGTCATTAGGCCTACTACTGACAGGGCCATCGCTAAATTAAGTCAGAGCCCAAAATATAGCATCATATTCAATACGTTATCTGACATCATGAAAACCTAAACTTTAATACAATTATTTGTTATATACTAGGCCTAATTCGAAATTATTATTTTAAGACTTTAAACATAATAGGCTACATACCGTACTGATTAATAATAGCTGAGATTTGATGCACATTTTAGAATTAATAATCGTTTTTATTATATCTTCCTGAATATTTATTGTCTGCCAAATGAAATATGAATTATATACATCTTTAGAAATACAATTTCTACAATATTAATCTTGTTTTTATATAGATAAATGTTCGATAAATTCTATCTTTCATGAAAAAAAAAAAAAAAACGAAATTCAGCGCGTCTATTTTCATTCTAATCAATGGCGTTTGTAAACGTGCACTGACGTCATCGTCGAATTCCAGGACTTTCGACGGTAAAGCTGGCCTGCCTGCCCCGGTCCCAGGCCAACCAATAATAATTAACAAAATGTTTTTTTTTTAACATAGGCCTATGGTGCATTTTGTACACGCACTTCAACTTTTACAACAAAAGCCTAGGCCTAGTACCTGTAGTACGTAATACTGTACTTAGGCCTACACTAGTTTGTTGTCATCGGGATATAATTCTGTCTAAATGAACGAGCAGAACCAAGCTAGTCAGCATCTAGGCTAGGCTAATTGGTTTTTAAATCAATAACCCTTCTTTGCAACGGGTCGTGACAAAGTGCGAGCCAGCGAGTCATGCGAGCCAATGCGCGAGCCATGCGAGCCATGCGAGTCATACATTTAAATCCTTTTTTTTCACCGGGAAGCTTTGCCTGTGTAGTCCAGTCATGCGCAGTACATACACTTTTTCGAATCGTCGATCCGAAATATGCAGCGCTGATAGAGATGTTGTTAAAATAAATAAAAAATACAAATATACAGATACATAAATGCAGATATATTTATATATATGTACTGTATTTATTGATATATCTATATATATATATATATATATTATTTTATATATACTGTATATATTTATTTATATATTTTTATATTTATTTGTATATTTATACATATATATATATTTATTTGTATATTTTTTGTATATTTATTGATATAATATTTATTTATATATTTATCTGTCTCTTATACACATCTAGATGTGTATAAGAGACAGCTTTATTTCAATCATATATTGAAGAAAAAGGATGCAAAAACTTAGATTTACATTAATTAACTTGTGGCCGAGTTGAATTGTGGCCGAGTTGATTTGTGGCCGAGTTGACTTGTGGCCGAGTTGCTGTCTCTTATACACATCTAGATGTGTATAAGAGACAGAGGCCTATCCTATGTTGAATGTCCGCGAAAATTGACAGATTGGTTTTGGTGTCGAATGTCAGTTCGAGTGCAAGCTTTTTTCGAGCGGTAAACAATTCGAGCGGATGATACATGATCCAACGCTCTCGTCACACGCTCGAGTGTTTGGTAGGACATGAGACTTGGCGCAATATTTTGTTCTGCTTCTGGGCGTAA